AGAAAATTAAGGTTCCCTATTAAATATAGAGAAAATTAAGGTTTTGCCTGTGAAATCAAAACAAAATCCAGATTTTCCTATGAAAATACAGAAAAATCAATTTGCGAAAAATAGAAAAATGCAGGTTTTCCTCTTAGAATAAAAAGAAAATGGAGTATTTCCTAATAAAATACAGAACTAAGCCCCAAACCCTTACAAAAAAAAATCACAAAAAAAGACAAAAAGAATTCCCAAAACAAATGCACTTCCACCCTAAACCCTAAACCCCAACTTTCCAAACTCTCCTTCTTCCGACTCCCTGGGTGGAGCGCAGCAGGCAGCACTAAAGTCGCTGTGACCTCCCGCGAAACCTGGTTCTAATTCCTGCCTCTAGGTTCTAGGGCCTAGGGGCCTCAAGAATTAGAACCGGCGGAACACTGGAATACCACTACTCATTATTCCGACCCCTATATTGCCCTACTAAAGTCCCATGCATCCTGACTTGCTGGTCACCGACCACCCACACAGAGTCCTGCCACATGCTGAAGACCTCAGATGATTGCCGGTGTGTGCACTTCGGCGTAGAACCATTGTAGAGCCTTTAAAAAACAGACGTTATAGAAACAGCTGGTTATACTTATTAGGATTCTGTTCGAAGTCCAGGGGTTGAGGAACCAAAGCCGACTACATTGACTGCATCTGGTCAAGCCTTGCTGCAAACTTCCAGGGCTTAGGGTTGCCCAAAACGGGTTCAAGGACAAGCCGGAAACCAATACGTGGTACCTCTTACACAGCGAAACTTGGCCGAGATGTTCTCCGCAACCCCTAACTTAAAACCCTACACCCTTAGACCTTGAAGCCCTCAACGCCAAATCTCCCCGAACCCCGCTTACGCCAGAAACCTTGAAGTCCCCAGACCTTCCTCAATTGCCTATACTATTCTAAACATACAGCATAATATTCCCAAGCCCCAGCTCTAGTCATTCAGGCCCCTTTTTTAGGCTGACTGCGAGACAGTGGCAAGGCCCCCCTCCTTCAGCTCCCCGACTCCGTGCTTGGTGCCATCCTGGTCCATCCACAGATTTATGGGGACCCTAAACCCAAAAGACCTAAAGCTGAAACAACAAATCTTAAACCCTCAAGCTCTAAACCCTAAACCCTAAATCCTAAACCCTAAACCCTAAACCCTAAACCCTAATCCCTAAAGTGACGGGTTCGGATACAACTCCACGTAGCTTTCAAGCATCATGGCATCCCAAACTCGGAACCCGGAACGTCACAGGAACCCTTTTAGGGTTTAGGGTTTAGGGTTTAGGGACTTATAGGAACTCTCAGCTTATAGGTTTAGAAGCATTGGGCTTCGAAACCTCGGGGTTCTCGGGGCTTTCGGGATCGGGGCTTCAAATAAAAGAGCTGTGGCCTGGGGCTGCGGCTGGAGCAGGACCCTAGATTTTGGAACTCAGAGCAGGTTGAGGTTCAGAGGATACAGTACAACAGACACTATGCAGCTGAGGCAACTAAGGTACCTTGTAGCGGAGGTTGCATGCTTGAACATCGACACAGCTTCTGCACTTTCGCACCCTCAGGCGGCACATGCTTGGGTTTCTACAGCCGGTGGGCCACCGGTTCCACATGCGTCTTATTATAAGCCCTGACTAAATTACCTAACCCTCGAAATCTGTAGGTGGCCTGAGGGATGGCGTGAAGGGGTGGAGGGTCTCAGGTCCAGTGCTCAGCAAGGTTGTGAGGCAGGTCACATGATGCCAGATGCACCGAATGCCAACCTAAAGAGGCAGATGGAGGTTCCCGAAAATAGGGGACCCTAATATAGCACCCTAAATAATATAAGGTACCCCTAAATTTCGGAAACTCCCAGATCTGAAGGATAAACCTGACGTCTGACAGAACGGATCTTCAAGCTTCAAGCAACGCCAGTATGCAGGCTCATGATGGCTCGTTTGTCCCCAACATGAGCGGAGAAAGCCCACGCCCCGCGCCGACGGCCTCGAAACTGGTGTCCTCAGGGGGCTTAGCTGCTGCCAAAATGCGACATCCCAGGTGCGTTGGGACTACGGGCTGGTCTTGGAAAACTATGCCAGGTGCCAGAGTTACAGAGGACAGCTAGAAAGATGATATGTCAGGTGCCGAAAGTCCAAAGCTTCTCCTGTGGAACACCGACGCCTACACCACCAGCGACAAAAGCGACGACATGATGCTCGAGACTTCGAACATCTACAGATAAGATACGGCAGCTGTTGACACCTCCATGCCGCCAGGGTGCTATGGTCAAGATGTCTTCTCCAAAGATATCCGACATTTCGACCTGGGCCACAAGCAGGACAGTTTGGTAGGATCAAGACTTCGGGTACGACCCGACAAGCCGCAATCCTGGCTTTTCTACATCGCCAAACATGTGCGTCACGCTGCCATTGCAAATAGAGCAGGGCTTTGCTTGCAAGAGTTCAGACAGGCGCGTCTCAAAGCAAAGAGCATCTCGGAGCATCCATATCATCGTCGGACATGCCGTCAGCCCAAAAGGGCCTCTCTTCTGAGACTAAACTGGGGTCATCGCAGACTCTCCACCATTCACAACTCAAACGGACAATCTCACCACCAGCAGGTGTTCGCTCCCTGGTACGTTCCTGGAAGTATAAGGCCAAGCTGGAGGCTGTTGGCACAATTAGCCACTCCTGCTCATCAGGAAACTTGGAGATCCACCGCATGTCAGCAACGATCAAGCCCTCACTTTGCCAGCTGAGCTTACCGGCACCTTGACCAAGAGAGATGTGCAGCACGCAGCCGCTGGACCCTGCATCTGTGACTGTCCCCCCACATCCATGTGCAAACTTGCGGGCCATGTCGAGGCTCATACTGCCGCTGATGAAGTTGCTGTAGCTGCTGGAAGGCGGGAACTCATTCGGCGGGTCCATGTCGTCTCCGTCTCCGAAAAAATCTCCGTCTCCGAAACCATCAGAATGCCAATACAAGGAATCGGGATCTGGTGGTCTCACATTGTTCAGACCGTGATAGAGCATTGCAGGAGGAGGCTCCTCAAGCTTGATGGCTGCATGACGAAGGGCATGGCAAGTCCACTGCCATTCCTTGACCTCGCTTGTGCGGGCTTTCGAGCGGTAAGGCTCTCCGAATAAGGCTCTGTGCATCAGTGCCCGTGTATAGCAGACACGCCAACAGCTCGACATCTGTGAGTGGCCGGCTTTTCAGCATTCTCAGCAAGCTAAGTTTCTTGATGAGATGCTTTTTCTGACAATGCACATTGAACATGGAAGGTGGGTGAGTCAGCGATCTTGACCAAGGAATCGCCGTGGTGGCTTCTCGAAAACGGGGATGTCGCCGCAATCGAGGCACGACTGTGTGAACAAGGGCCATTTCAAACTCCAAGTTGTGCCGTCGAAGTTCCTGACAAACCAAGTCCAGCCCTTCATGCGCGAGCCTTTCCGAGATTCTCAACTCCATCCGCTCTGACAATGTGTCCTTTCCACACAGTAGCTTGTACCCCACTGGCTCGTCCATCTCGTCGATGTAATCAAAGTCTGATCCACTCAAAACTGCACAGTTGTCCCAAGCTGCACGGCTGGGGCGTCCATGCGTGAAAGCTGCGTGATGGCAAATATCCGCCACATCAGTTCCGCCGTCGCACAGGCGTTGGTGGGCCGTGCAGGACTCACCGTGCGGGCAGGCAGCTAACGGATGCACATACCGAGTCAAATGGTGCAGTACAGCCTCATCACATTCTTTGCCGGCACGCACAGCCAGCAGGTGGCTGCAGGTTTCCCACTTGCCACATGATGCCTGCGGATTGGCGGCAATCATGATGCAATGCTACAAAGCCGATCCTGAGCAGCTAATGGCACGCGGAAGCTTGGGCTAAGTCGTTCCAGTTCAGGACTGCTGGCACATGCGACCTGCCTTCCTTCTTGAACAGGCACCATCATCAAGTCAAGTAGATGGGCAGATCTTTGGTAAAAGTCTATGTCGCGCCACCTAACCCCAAACTGTACTTCAAGACGGTCACACCCTGCCCACCACTACCACAACCACCACCACTACTACCACTATCACTACCACTCCACTACCACGTCCACTGCAACTGCCACCGGTGGTACCACGACGACGACGACGACGACGACTAACTACTACTACTACTAGTAATACTACTACTACTACTACTACTACTACTACTACTACTGCTACTACTACTACTACTACCACTACTACTACTACTACTACTACTACTACTACTACTACTAGCTACGACTACTACTACTGCTACTGCTACTGCTACTGCTACTGCTACTGCTACTGCTACTGCTACTGCTACTGCTACTGACTGCTATTGCTACTGTTACTACTACTAC